TTTAAAGCAAATGAAGATTGCACACAGATGACCTGATACCTCTGCAAAATGTTGAGAAATCCTTCCTAATGGTCTATCTAATCCATCCTTTCATTGAAATTGAACCTCCACATACAATATGCCCACCATACAACCCATAGTAAAAATCGCTCGCCTCTGACAAAACCAACAGCCCAAAGTGCCTGGTAGAAGAAAGGACGTGTTAGCTCTGAGCATTCTTTGTGAGCAAATCATCTTAATGTGTTCAGGTTTCTTTTTGTGAGAAACTGGAGTTTGGACAGGAGGAATTTGCTGAACTTCAGATGCACTGGACAACTGGCAAAGGTGACTGAACAAAGGAACACACTCTCAGGGCACTGTCTGTCTGGTTGGGATGCCACCGACTGCTTGAGAAACTAGGATATTTATATGGTGGGGGAAATGGGGGAGGGAGATCTGCCGTAATCTAAGAAACTAATGGAATGACTTGATGAGCTAAGCAACGTCCTCCTGTTTCTGTTAGACCTTGTTTGTTGCAGTCAATTTGGGAAGCTAGATTGAACCCCTGAATAAAATATGTGCTTTGCAAACTGAGAAACATTAAGGACTCGCTGTCTACTTTAAGGTAGTGCTTTTGTAATAATAAAGAAATCCCTAGCTGTTCCAAGCATTATGTTGGAATTATTTAAAAAGGGCTTTTAAAGTTAGTCTCAAGATAGTTCAGCCAGAATTATAATTGCCAAACACATTTTTCAATTTATTACGGCAGTCTATTCCTTGACTTGCCGGTGATCTTAAAAGAAAGCGCAAGACAAAATTCAGTAGAGAGAAAAGTGGCAAGAACCGAGAAATAGAAAGAAAAAAGCACAAATTAGAACACAGCTTTTTTTGAGGGGGTTGTGTGGGGGGGTGGGGGGGGGGGCTGAAAAAATGTCAGTTTTCATTGGAAGATATACCACAGAGGAATCTGTGGTAGAAATCACAAAACCTAAAAGGAAGTCACAAAGTCACAGGTGCAGAATGGATGCAGTGGTTGTGAACCATATGAGGGACTGGAAGGAAAAGAGTGAAGAAAGCAGGGAACATCTACAAGATGCTAGTGCCTGATTTGCTAGTCCTAAGATTACCCTCTGGAGTTTCAGTGACCAGTCAGAACGTACTCCTTATCCAAGAAAATGCATCCATCAAACATCTTCCAAAACAAAGGTTGGCAACTCGGATCCAACAGTAAATTGGGAAACGCTTATTCCAGAGATTGGCTATTGGTGCCAAACCTAAATGAATTTAGGTGAACACATACACGAGAAAGAGGGGAATAAGGAATATACAAGAGGAGGCTTGGGTGCTCCTGTGGAATATAATCACCAGTACAGATTAGTTGAGCTGAATGAACGTATTCCGTGCTATGCAGTAATTCCATGTTGGTTTCTCATCAAGGCTTTTAAATTTTGTCCAGGCATATTTCAATGAGAGTGAATGATTGATGGATCTGCAGTTTTAAGTTAAAGCTTGTGGTTTATCACTACCACACTAAAATCTCTGGTAATGCCCTTTGCACTAGCGGAGATTGAGGCTTGCAAGGGGAAAATAGTCAAGAACTGTTAGACATAGGGCAGTTTTACAAAACGTTTAAATAGGAGACAGGACATATACGGTTAAGTGCATTCAGCAAATATACAGACACTACATTATCCATTTCACTCTTCCATAGCCTCAAATCTACACCACTCAAAAAAAAGGAAATATGTTGCTTATGCGATAGTTATAGATCTGTCACATTGCTACATGTGGATTGTATGGTTGCAGTTGAAGTGCTTGCCTTTCTGATTACCACATATAATGACTAGGGTACTGTGAAGAGAAAATAATAATAATCCTTGGATTTGATGTAGCACCCTATCAAATAATTGAGACACCTCAAAGCACTTCATAGGATATATTGTAAAGTGGATTGACTATATTTTGTGGGCGAAATGCGGCAGCCAGTTATGTACAGCAATGTCCCACAAACACTCATGGAGTGAGTGACTGATTTTATTTGGGGGATTGTTGGCCAGGACACCAGGAAAAAGAAACTCCCTACTCTTTTCGAATAGTGCCATGGGATCTTTAACATCCACCTGAACAGGTAGATGAGGCCTCAGTTTAACACCTCATCAGAAGGATGGCACCTCTGACAATGCAACCCCACCCCACCCCCACCCCAGGGCTGCATTGGAGCATTGCATTAATAACACAATATTAACAGGGTAGACCAACATATCCAGGGATAAGGGGCAGAGATTGCAACACCTTAATGAAGAATGACTTCTTCAAAAACTGATTCACTGCGTATCGAGGGCATGATAGAGTATACCCATAGGCTGCTGACTGGCAAATCAAATTTAATAAGATACCGCATCAAGGAAATAAAATAGGAGGCACACAGGCTGCATGAATGGGACAGAACTTGCCAAGGGTGAAGCTGAAAGAGATCTAGGAATGTTAAGTCAACTCATCACTCTCCATGTCAAAACAATGTGAGGAAGTAATAAACAAGACAAACAAGATGCTGGGCTATATTACCAAATTAGTTGAGCTCAGATCCCTAGAAGTCAAATGCATGCTGTACAGTGCTCCAGTCAGGCTGCCCTGGAGTATTGCAGACCACTTTGGTTTTCGTGATGTAAGACAGCTGAGCAATAAGCTGTAAGCAATGATTAGACAACCCTAGTGCTCTCCAGCCTTGAAAAGAGACATTCAGAGGGAAGCTTCTATACGTTTTTACATGGGATTGAGAAAGTAAACCCAGGACAATATGTTCGGATGTGGCAGCAAAGACTTCTTTACCTAAAGAGTAATTAACAACTGTAACAGATTACCGGGAAGGGAAGTTGAAGCCAAGTCACTGGTGGGTATCCTGGAAGGAGAGATACAACAAGCCAAAGGGCATTCTTCATCTGATCCTGTGATACAAAACGTGAGATTTTTGTTTAGGCTCCAAAGCTTGAAAGTCTCACGCAAATCTTTGATATCATTGGATTTTATAAAAAATATTTTAGTTACAAAGTGACAGAAATCGACACCTCCCTAAACAATAGCTGTAAGCAGGAAGGGACAAATACATTTTGGATCCCCAGTGAAGTAATCTTACAGGTATATTTTGGTAGTTTTGTAAAGGAGTCTTTAGGGAAAAGTCCTAACTTTCACCAATTAGCAGATAATAAAGTAAGTAGCTATTGATCAATATTAAGAAGCACCTGGAGAGGTGAACATGTTCTTCTACTGGGGAAAGTGAACCCTCTTAAAATGAACGAATGACTCGACTAAATTATATACTACAAGTTACATTATTTTTCCAGTAAATATATTCATTGCATTCAAGCTAGCTACAAACTTAAATTTGACACTAAAATTCCCTTCATGGATGGCCTGAACCTTTCAAGAGGGGTGGGAAAGCCTTTTCTAAATCTTAAAGCATTTTAAAATTAAAAACAGCTGGGGCTTGGGCTGGGAGCAGAGCTAGGAATGAGAACAGTGCAAGGTGGCTCGTTGTAAAGGAATCGTTGAGGAATGTCCTGAGGGTGAGGCTTTGTCAGTTGCTTTACTCCTATCAGGGGTGTGGGACACTAGTCCTAAGAATGCACATTTAGTTGGATACACATCTAAATCTGTGGCAATTAAGGCAAGTTTTAAAGCCAGAAACTGACTGGGCCTGAAGACCAAGCATTTTGAAAACCTTTTCTAAACACACAGTGACTACAGAGGATAATTTTAAACAGTTTACAGCAAGAGAAAGTTTTAAAAAGTCAATACACTTGAAAGTGAATACATGCACTTTTAGAAGTTTCAAAGTGATCAGGCACTATGTAAAAAAATTATTTTTTTTCTTTAATAACTGGCAAATCAGATTATTCTCCCTGGTGCTGAAAGACGAGAGTTAATAACACCAAAAAACAGAAGAAATCAGTCGTAATAGCCTTGAGCAGGGTAGAGTGGAGCGAAAATATCATGCGTCATCAAGACTCAATTTTCTTGAAGGAGAAACTGCTCATCCCCATGGCCTGTATGTGGAGGTTTAAAACACATTCAAGAATAAAGCTTCATAAAAGTAGCATCAATATTGCACACAACCTTCATGGTTACTCTGTAAATTTGATCATTTGTAAGAAGAATGAAGTGTGATCTACAGTACATCATTCACCAATAATTTACACATTTAAACTTCAACCTTCCTCGTGAGGGGAGGGGAAAAAATAACTTTAAAATGTATCTTTAATATGCCACTAACAAACAGTAAATCGCTTCTATAACTGAGTCAACTGGATTCTTAATTTATAGCGTAACTGTTGTTAGAATTTATCACCAGCATGACTAAATGTTTGTAGTGCCCCCATTCCAATCGATTTTAGCCCAAATTATGCGTGACTATTTCTTTCCACACCAAATGAAAAGCAACCTCAGCTGTCTCTAAGTCCCTGGATGATAACAACATGACCCTTGTGCATGTAATAATACTAATCCTTGCATCTTATATAACTCTTTCCATGTCTTCTGGACGACTCAAAGCGCTTCACAGAATATACTGTAAAGTGAATTGACTGTATATTTGTGGGTGAAACGCGGCAGCCAATTGTGCACAGCAGTGTCCCACAAGCAGTCGTAGATTGAGTGCCCAAATTATAATTTTTTTTTAAAAAAGGATTATTATCCCAGGAAAATTGATCGGCCAATCGACTAACAACCAGGTTCCTACTTACTGCTACATAAACAGAAGTGTGTGGAGTAAGGAAACGTGCCCAACATTTCGCCCTGTCGGGAATCAAACCCAGGTGTCTCGCTCGGTACAGGACTCCAGTGATTATAGCACTCGCATGTAACAAGTTCACACCATTCTTAAAAATAATGTTCCATAACTGACATAGGACCTTATTTTATTCTTCAATGTTACAATTGTTCCAAGATTTTAAGGTAATTATTTGAAACGCTAACTCCTGAAAGAGTCAATTAAAGAAGCTACATAAATGACGAGTACAGTACAGTAGTTCCAATTTGTTTTAATATACAGCTCCTGTTAAAAGTATCTTTGTGATAGTCTTCTTTCCCACCTGGAGAGAGTATAAAACCTTTCCAACCCAGGCTAGTGCACAAAGGGGTCCTTTTAGGGGAGGAAGCATCTATCTGAAGAAAAGCTATAGCACTCTCCTAATTTCCTGAATACTTCCTGTAGTGTTTCCGAGAAGACGTGCGATAGACTGAAGGATAGCATGATGATACTGTAATTCAAATATACTTTCACATGCTTTCACTGAACAATAAAATGTTGTTAGAACAGATATCAACTTTAGAAATTTGAATTCATGTAATATTTCAATGCAGACAGCTGGTTTAAAATACAGCTTTTTGTGCAGTTTTGGTTGAAGGTGATTGGTATTGAGCGATTCTGTTAAAATAATTTAGATTTCCATCACTTAAAAATTGATGTGTATACAATGCTTGTGATTCTTCTTTTCAGGCATGTACATTAATGACCACAATGCCACATACTGAAGGGGAGGGTAAACAGAAGGGTGGAAAATGCCAAACACGAACCTCACGCACACATATGGACGCAACTCAGTCTACAATTGATCCTTACAGAGTGCAAGCTTGCTGTTTCTGGAACATTCACTGTGTCTCAATTCCTGTCGGCGCACACTGCATCAACATCTCTACATAATACATCTGCTAGCTCTTCTGTAAGCTACGATATGTTAGCGATGGCAGATGAACTTTTGGAAGTCTTTTCAGCACCTGCAAGCTGACTGCTCTGATTTTCTTTCTTTTTTAAATCAAAACATTTTGTGAAAGCTCACCACACAAACGGTTAATATTTCACTGCGGGTTCAGGAATTGGAAGCCGATTCAGTTCATAACTTAGATGCACCGACTGTATGTTATAATATTGAGGCAGTGATTCCAAGGATCTGTCCTTTTAATACAAAAACTGGAAATGCTTTAGGAACAAACTCTTGAAAAGGCTGGGGCCAGTCACAAAAACTAACAAAAAGAGAGGAAAAAAAACATACATTTGTAAAGATGACTATAGGGATAAAGCAAAAAAACACACAAATTGCAAATTTTTTCATGTATTGTAGGTCGGTTAAAGAAGTTTTTTTTTATATAGGAATGGGCAAGAGATAAGCTTGCAGGTTCCTCATGGTGAAGATGGACATCAATGCTAAAGAAGCTGTGTCTAGGAAGAGTAAACGATTGTCGCTATTGCTCTCACAAACATCCCAATTTTGAGTGCATTGAATATTTGTTGCAGTCACTCTGTGAGCTTGGCCTGGTCCAAATCCAGAGAGAGAAAGAGAGATATAAAGTTCATCTCCTTTCATGATTTCACTTCTTCGCAGTCCTGGTCGGTGGAGAGTTCCACGTCAGAAAGTCCAACTTCAACAGCGAGAATCAATGAGGTGTCGGAATCACTACTCACAACTCGTTCTTCATCATCTTTAAACAAATAACAAAAGAGTGAATTTATTTTGCATAATTGGCATTTATGCTTTCAAATACACAGAAGCGTAAACCCACATTAATTGAACAACCACAAATATTTTACTCCACGAATGCTGACAAATGTACTCTTTGAATTATAAGCAAAATTACACGTGACTGTTTACTACCTGGTTGAAATGAACTGCACTGCCAATTTGTGACTATAATGATTTCTAAAATGCTTCTTGCCCGAAAATGAACAAATGCATTATAGAAATATAGCCAGCATGGTGAAAAAAATAGGTGTGAACCAAAGTTCGTCTAAAGTGCTATTGCATTTCACTTATTTTTTTCCTTCCACATAATTCCATTCCTTTCCAAGAGGAAAGCAGGGAAAAGGTATCTGACCTTTTTGTCCACTTCACTGGTTGTAACTCGCTACTGTGTAACAGTGGCAGGGAGTGACCATTGGCATTCGGTCCCCAAATCTCCATGTAATCTTTGCCAAGATGGTTAACTCACCAAGGGATGCACTGTGGGTCCAAGCTTAACGTGGTATGAGTATCAGGAAGGTCCCAGATCCAATTCCTGATCTAACATGAGACAGTAGTGGTGGCACTACAATTGGCTTTAGACTCCATGTTATGTAAGGAAAATACAAGTTAGATGGGGTCCCTCCGCATCAGGTCGGAAGTACATGTGTGCGTGGAGATTGGAGGATCCCTGAAAATTTTGACGGTCTTAGCCTTAAGACTGCTGTCTCAAAATTTTGTAAAATTCTGTGCAACCATAATTTTTAAGATTATAGTCTTAATGTTATGACCAATACAAGTTTCAAGGCTATGACCAGATGTAGATGTGGAAAGTAAGCAGAGTAGCAATGATTAGTTATAAATGCAGTTTGGCACACAGACCAGAGCATCCTGATACAAGATAAAGAACATGACCTATTGCAGTTACCATAAAGAAATAATAATGCCCTTACATTTGATCTACCAGCTTTCATGTTAGGAAGATGCCTCAAAGGGCTTTACAGTATACACTGTAAAGTGTAGTGACTGTGTATTTTGCAGGTGAATGGCAATTTGCCCACAGCAATCTTCCACAAACAACGATGAAGTGAATGACCAATTTTATTTGGAGGATTGTTAGGCCGAGTACTGGGGAAAACTCCCTTCTCCAAATAGTGCATTAAGACATTTAATGTTCATCTGTGCAAGTAGATGGAACCTTGGTTTAATCCGGTTTCATCCAAAGGAGGCATCTCCAATAATGCAGCACACCCCCAGCACTGCATTAGGGCGTCAGCCTGGACTACATACTTCAAGGATAAAAATTATGCTGGTGGCAAGCTGGAGCCTCAAAAGGAGTTCTGCCACCAAGAAATAGTTAAGCACAGGTTCCAGATCTAAGCTCTGACTGGTGGGGATAATGGAGGAATCAATGTAACATCTATGAATCATAGAATCATACAGCACAGAAGGAGGCCATTGGGCCCATCGCGTCTGTGCTGGCTCTTTGAAAAGAGCTATCCAAGTCAAACCTACTCCCCCATTCTCTCCCCATAGCCCTGCAAACTTGTCCTCCCCAAATAATTATCTACTTCTCTCTTAAAAGTTGTTATCGAATTGACTTCCACCATCCTTTCAGGCAATGCATTCCAGATCCAAACAACTCCCTCTGTGAAAAAATTTCTCCTCACCTCTCTTTCTTTTAACAACTATTTTAAATCGGTGCCCTCGGGTTACTGACCCACCCGCCAGTGGAAAGTTTCTCCTTGTTCACCCTATCGAATCCCATCATAATTTTAAAAACTTCTATTAAGTCTCCTCTTAACCTTCTCTGCTAATAATCCTAGCTTCTCTAGCCTCTCCTGATAACTGAAGCCCCTCATTTCTGGTACCATCTTGGTAAATCTCCTTTGAACCCTCTTCAATGACATCCTTTCTAAAGTGTGGTACCCAGAACTGAACACAGTACTCTAGGTTTCCATGCTCTTCCCATAATGAAGGTGGTGGTGAGTGTTGGGGTCGGGGAAAGAGGATAAAGAGAACAGAAAATAATTTATTAAAGCCCATCTCATAGATGCTACTGGCCAATAAAACAATGTGTGTTAAAGCAATTTTCCATATCTTGTTGGTTCGGAATGGCAAATATGACACAAGGAGAGAGAAAATATTGTACAGAGGCATACACGTTACCCATAAGAAACAAGTTGTGTTTTCTCTTTGTGTTACAGAACTGTATCAATCACTTGTTGGTCTTAGTTTGACATTTCCAACAAGACACTGATGTTGGATAATAATAATCCTTTCATTTGATTTAGCACCTTACCACATCGCCAAAATGTCTCAAGGCACTTGACTGGTGGGGATAAGAGAAAATAAACAAATCCTGTAACTGAATTACACTTTATGAAAAATTCAGTTTCAGTATCAGTATTCCAATTTGACAACTTTGGAACTGTTTCTAGAGCAGGTTTTTCTAATATCTGTGCCCAACTGAACACTCACCCTAAAGAGTATTGGTGTTCCCCCTTTCATATATTATCTGGCACCTAGCAATTCAGAAGTTACAGCTCCATCATTTTGCAAAGCTACATTGGGCATTTTCTTGGACTGGCTTCTGTGAAATAATGGCACATTAGGTGACCCATGTCCAAGTTACAAAACATTGAGCACAATAGAATATAAGATTTTTCTGAATTTGCAATAAATTATGCCGATAAATTCCTTGAAAATCTTAGCATCTAGAATGGAATGGAATGCTAGGAACTGTGCTACAACCAAACAGTTAATGAACTGGACTGAAGGGCAGACAAAAGGCATAATACATATTTTATCCCCCAAAATATCACATGAATGCACTTCAGGGTAAATTTCACAAGCTCCCTCTGTCCGCATAATTCTTTGAAATTTGACTGCAGCAATCCACAAAAATCAATTTTACTCTACTTCAAGTAGCACTGACATTTAGCTTCAGAGGAATTTACTCATGGCTATGTACGTGTAATCATATATAACTAGAAGAGGCCAATCCACAGAGATTATCACCCCAGTACCAGTGAAAATGGGATGCAGTGTTCAGACCTGGAGCAATTACTCACTTCAAAGCTGAATCAACCAATTTTTTGTCTACATCAAACATCAATGACACAATGCATTCATAAACACTGTGCTTGTGCAACTATAATACTGATGGCCCTTGTCTGGCAGGAAACAGCAATTTGCAGTTATATAGTGTCTTTCATGAGGGGAAAATGTCTCAGTGTTTACAACAGAGTAGAGACCCAAGCTGGAAGGCGGATGGGGGAGGGTGCAGGAAGGAGGTGGCTGAAGGAGCAGTCAAATAAATATGGTTTTTGGATGAATTTTGAAAGCAGAGTGGGAGGGAATAAGGTAGATGGGTTTCAAAAGGGTGTTCCAGAGGGTAAGGAAGGTAACTGAATATTCCCCCTTGATGATGGGGTGGAGGGAAAGGTTCATTAAGCTGTTGGTAGAGTGGAGGGAGTGGGTGGGAGAGTAGTTTCAGAAGATCACACAGATAGGAATTAATACAAGGATGAGGTTCTTAAAGTCAATCTGCTGGGAGAGAGGAAGCCAATGGAGCCAGACAAAGTTGAGAGTGATGGGCTTGTGGAGCCTAGTGCAAGATAAAATGTGGGCTGCAGAATTCTCAATGATCTGGATCTTGTGAAGACAGACTTGGGAGGCAAATGATCATAGCATTGGAAAAGTCAAGACTGGAGGGGACAAATGTATCGAGGAAGATTTCAGTTGTATTGAGGGTGAAATAATGGTGGAGGCAGACAATGTTGCAGAAATGGAATTGGTCAGAACCTGGCAAAAGGCTTAAAGGAGAGGCTAAAGGCAGATCTATAGTGTTGGGTGTCATCTGTGGGTAAAGCAGAGTGTGGATGATATCACAAAGATGGAGCATGAAGATGAGGAAAAAGAGTGTACAGAGTCCTTTGAACACCAATGTGACTGAGGAGAAACTGTTGGAGGCCGGTGACAACTCTAGAGAGTGGACAGAAACGTGCAGAGATTTATTTAGGAAATATCTCCAAGAGTGCAGAGGTTTAGTTCGGAAAGACAGACAGTGGAGGAGGATGGAATGTTCAACAGTATTGAAAACACTGAGGAGGTAGAGGAGAAAAATTTGGCACGAGGAGCCTTTGTCATAGGCAGAGAGGATGCTGTCTGACTTTGTCCAAGATTGTTGCGATTTTGGGCGAGGTGAAAGCCAGATAGAAGAGGTTCATACAAGGAGTGGTGGTAGAGAAAAGACTGATGCTCAATCTCAATGTTATTCAAAGCATAAATAGGATGTATACTGTGGTATACACAGTGACAATAGTGTTTCCCTAATAAGTGTGACACTGCTTCCTAGGCATGCTCTCTCCACTTTTATTGGATAGCATGCTATATTGGTCAACTTTGGAACTTTAAATTCTATGAATCTAAGGGTATTAGCAAGAGCTCCAACTGTTGCAGTTTAATCTTGTATCTCTGGATTTTGGGTTACAAGTTAAGATTTGGAAGAGAAGTGGTTTCTAATATCAGATGGTGACTAATCTAAGTGAAATAACTATAGTATTAAAACTTTGAACTAATTTGTCAATCTAGCTCTGAGCAGCAATAGGTCCACTCATCATAATACTTGCATATAGTGCCGTATCACGTTGTTAGATGTCTCAAAATGTTTCACAGAACATACTGTGAAGTGGATTGACTGTGTATTTTGTAGGAAATGAAAGAGCTGGGACATGGAGACATTGTTTAGAGGTTACGATTGCAGCAGCACATTGATATGCTTGTACTGAGTGATTCAGGCTGGGTGATTCATACCATTGATCGATTAAAAGTAGAAAGAAATTCACTTTAAACCCCCAGTAAGAGATTTACAGTTTTTGCATTCTAGGTTTGAACTTTGTGCATAGATTCAATGATTTTTAGTTATAACATCTAGATACTGGCACAGATGTTTCCTATTCTTTATTCAGACATTTTTCA